TGGTTAATTTTTGTGTAAAATTTTTTTAGACGATCTACCTATATGAGAAATGATCTACGTTCACCCTACCCTTAAAAGTTAAATTAGAAAATTTTAATGTTTAAAATTTAATATAAATTTTATAGCATTGTGATAATTATAAAAAACTTTTAATATGTATCACAATTATTACTAAGTATATATAATCAATTGAAATAGAAATATTTTTTTGAGCTGTATATTTTAGCAGTAGATTTTCTAAACAATGATAAATACAAGCTATAAAAATTGTATAGTCTAATGCTAATATATAAATAAGTTATGTGAAAAAATTATCGCTGTTCTCTATATAAATAATATATATGGCATATATATTTAATAACAGATAAAATATACGGCATATAACAATCCTAAAATTTACATATTATTACTTATTACGTAAAAAACAATAAATAATTAGAATCTATAAATAATAATACATTACTAAACTTGCCCATCACTAATGCGAAGTAACTTCAACGGTCGGGAGGGTAAAGTGGTGGATCGTCAGATTGGCAAAAAATTAACGACTTATGTATTATGACAATCAGTCGAAGTATCACTCACTCGATATCAAAGAATATTTTTATAATATCTTACAATCCGTTGATGAAAATCGAAAGTTTTTTACACCATTCGATTTATCTTGGTGAGATGAATCGAATGGTATAAGAATCATTAAGCTCCGATTGATGGAAAAAGTGTAATCTCAACATAATTTGATCCGTCACTTTACCCACCTCCGCCAAAATACACCTAGTAATTTCAAACAATCGTTAACTAGTAGTTTTTTTTAATTACATTATGAGCTAGCAAGTTCTATGCAACTAAATGAATTTAATTTGTTATTTTATCGCGAACTATTACAATATTTTCTTCTAATTTTTTAACTCTGCACTCAATTTCCTCTAATGTAGACTTTGATTGAGTAATGTTTGATCTGAATTGGTGTGCAACATATAAAATATATGTTGTAGGAGTTGCACGTAGATTTTTGGGGAACTCATCAGTGAAATAAGTTGATATTCTAGAGAGAAAGCTAGTTAATATGAAGAGCAAAGCCCTGAGAAAGTAAGAATTTACTGGTTGTGTTACCATAATCAAAATAGTTTGAAGGACGCCTGGAGCGCAAAGTGTCAATAAGGCAATAATTGAAACAAATTTGTTATGAATATAATTTGGAATTAAGCAAAGAATTATCATCAATGCAACGCGAATAAAGATGACTAAAGAAAAGACAATAATAAATCCTTTTTTAATGGTTGTATCAGTATCATCAATATATGGAATATGAAATAACCAAAAAATTGGTATCACACCCATTGGTACAAAACCGATAAATATTTCGCCGAAAAGAAAAGCAGCATCTTTAGTGCCTATTTCATCATGTTTATCGATGCTGCTTACGTTAAGCTTTTTGTTTTTGCAATAACTTATGATTACACAGATTATGTGTGGAATCGCATTGCAGATAGCAAATATAAGCTCATTTGGTGAATTATATATAATTGACGCGATTAAAGGAATGATCCAGGTAATAGTATTGTATAGAAAATCATCCAATATAGGAAGAAGATTAGTTTTCCATGATGAATTTTCGTCTTGAGAGATGCTTAAGAGCAATACAAACGCTACTGGCAGTAAGGTATTATAAATACCATCAAAAGTATCCTGAAATGATTGATGATAAGTGTCATCATAAAGGCGGTAAAGTTAACCATTTCGAATTCCACAAAATTATGAAGCATTCACTGCATTTAATAAAAAATTTCTCTTGAAAATTTGTTAAGAAAATACATTATCAATCTAACGTTATGCAGTATCAAGTAAATTTAAAATTTTTAGTCTCCAACTTAGGCGACATCAACATCCCCACACCCAACTTGTGGGTACTGTACTTGCTTTGGAGTGTAATCAACGAATTGCGCAAATAAGTCCTAATTTGGCTAGCCAGCGGGCTTAGATAAGAGGTACAGTACTTGATTGGGAGTGTGATACAACAAGTAATTCAAATTGGAGTAGTGGGTGAAGCGGTAAACACAAGGACGATAGGATTGGCCTTACACTGGTTTTTGCATGAAATTATTTCTAGATGTTATTTAGAGCGAATATTAATACGTATTTATAAATTTAGATCTTGTATTACTTGTTATTTAGAATGATATATTTGGAATATTAATCTTTATAAATTTAGATATTGTATTACCTGTTATTTAGAACGATATATTTGGAATATTAATATTTATATTGTATTACCTGTATTTTATAGTATTTTGTATGTATGTACGTACGTACGTAAGTACCGGTAGCAGAAGTGGAGTAGTATATAGTCACTACGGCAAATTTAATGGCAAAATCTTGTAATTGATTGGACATTGCAGTTATATGCAGTAGAAATTTAAATTCAGCATTCCACAATATTACATTGCATATAGCACTATGAGATTTATCTAATTATTGTAGTTTCTAAATTCTCATACTCTCCTTGTCTTCAATTTACACTTTTGAGACAATTGTTATCATTGATGCGAAATGACAGTTTGAAAACCATAATCGCTCCCTATAATGTTTACGGACGTAAATATGGTATAAATATTTCCTAAATTATTGGCATCAATAAAGTATGTACATAGATAATTTATTAAAACTATATTTTTTATTTTAATGTTTATGGTGATTTTTAAATTTCTTGCCCCAGTGCAGAAATAATTTCTATAGGTTTAATGCATAATCAAGTAGCACAATGAAATCAAGCATTTCCTAAATTATCTACTTTAATAAGCATTTATGCACATAATGCCAATAATTTAGGAAATATTTAACTTTAATATTGCTACGTACGTACGTATTTATTTATACTTTGTCTCTATAAGCGGTTATCTACGTACATGGTGATTACATGTGATTGGCAAAATGCGTATTGTGTCCATCTCTGCACAACCTCAACGATTGAAGTTGTCATCGTTACAACCCATACTACGCAGGTTTTTATCTCGATTGATGAATTAATATGACTTCAAAGTGTACAACGATCATATTATAAGAAACCTGATTCTTTTTATCGTGTCACTAACAGTTTCTGTTATGTTTTTTAAATCGACTAAACCAAATACGGTACTGGTATATGGATTTCTGGTTTATAATCAACTGAAAACAAAATATGGCAACTGTTTTTTATTCAAGTTTCTAAATTTGCATTTCAAGCAGATTTTGTTAAAATCTGAATGTGACAACGTCGCGCAACTGCTTATTATATACAGGTTTCAGGGACGGATCTTGTGATTTAGCGTTTCTAAGGGAATGCACATTCATATTATAGTTGTGACCCGAAACCAGAAACTATATATAAATTCCCGAAACTGAAACCCGAAACCTTCTCCGAAAAACTCGAACACTATACTGAAAAGCTTAGAAATTTAGATTTAAACTTTAAAACTTAAAGTATATGATAATTAGATTGCATTCCAAGAGTTTTTAGTTACTTTATAGCAAATGAGTATTAATTTTTTACATTCTAATTTGAAGGTTTCGGAAAGGTTTCAGGTTTCGGGTCACAACTATAATTTATATATAGGGTACTTCATTTTAAAAGTTACAATACATCCTTTTGGCGTTTAATATATCCATTTTAAAACATGATCCAGTCGATTATTTAATTTTGACGTGTTTTTTCTATACAATTTTTTAATAAACAATACTTAATACTGTATGTCTAATACACTTCCACTTCGTTATATTGTTCAAGGTCACCTGGGAGAAACACTTCCGATAAAGACTTTCGAATTAGATTTTGATGACAACAAGAATGTTGGTGTGCTTAAAACATCCATTTGTGAGAATGAAGACCTTAAAGAATTCATTTGTAAAAATGAAGACCTCACTTTATGGAAAGTTGATATTCCAGTGAATGATAGAAGAATTAAGCAGCTTAAAACTTCATTAGTTGAGAAAGTATTTAATCATAAATGTGAAAAATTATCAGATAATAAAGAAATTATAAAAGATATTTTCACACCCCACCTCAAAAAAAACCATATACATATTATTGCATCCAATGGCAAGTAAATCTTAATAATTTACTCAGTAATTTATTTTAGCAAGACGTTAATGTCTATAGAAATATTAAATTTTATTTTATTTTAATTTTTTCTATGCCACATTTTCATAAATAAGAAATTACATTACGTTGTATTATTAAAGGAGAACCTTCCAGATTAGCCTTTCCTGTTAATGTTAATAAGTACACAAATATTTATGCACTCAAAAAAATTATTTTCGAAAAAATTACTGTTCCTGAAAACAAAATACACAAAATAATGTACACATTTTATATCAATAAAATTCTCTATTAAATATTATTTCTCTGTTCTTTCGCTTTAAATTACTA